TTAAATTAAAAAATATGAGATTTTAAATTTAATATTCTCGACGTCCCTTCTCGTTCGTGCGCATGCGTAGTCGCATCGGTGTAAATATCGCTTTAATCTGATGAAGTCGTAAAGGACGAAACGCGTCACACGAAAACCTTTTCCACTTTGTAATTTTTTCCATTAAGTTTTTCTTGATATATAACTATTTATATATCGTTATCCCCCCACCAACATATATATATATATATATATATAATTAAGTAATGAAAATCTCGGTATTCCCAAGGAGGATGAAATCCGGTGACCTCAATGTTAAATCAGAGCGAATAATTCAATTTAAAGAAAACAAGATGAATGATGATCCAGGGAAAAATCTCCCTGAGGAAATAAATTATAACTATGGAACCTTAAAGTTGTCTGGTTTTCTTTAAATTATAATTATATATATATATATATATATATATATATAAGTATAGGATTGGTGAATATGGAATAAATTCCACTAACAAAAAAAAAATACTATTTTTAAAAGAGTGGTCAATACAGAGTAGAGCAAATATAATTTATTCGAAAATTATAACATAAATATGTTATCAAATCGCTACAAAAATAGCCATTTTGTTTCAACACTACTGGTGTCTTATCAAGTGATGGTGTTGAATGTAGAAAATTCTATGTTTATTAAAAACATCTTTGCTAGAAGAGCTAGTAATTATCCTAAATTCAGTAGAGCAAGGTATATGCTTAATAACAGAATGGGGTGCTTGGAATTAGGATATATATATATCGGGTTAGAATTAACCTTCACATAAGGTTGAAATATTTTCTACCTTCAACATCATCATTTGATAAGACACCAGTAGTGTTGAAACAAAATGGCTATTTTTGTAGTGATTTTATAACATATTTATGTTATAATTTTCGAATAAATTATATATATATATATATGTCTATATATATATATATATAGAGAGAGAGAGAGAGAGAGTGCGATGAGTAAATTGCTACCATTTTATATTTTTAATTTCACGCATGCGCGTTGTTTGTTTTTGATTTGTCGGCTACACAGTATAGTAGGATTAGTTGGGCACCGTCTGTGAGAAAAAGAGAACCATGACGCAATTCACTCCGCCAGAAATTTGGAAACTGCACGCTGTACTGCTTGGCATTCGCGCCGGAAGCGCCAATACGAACATTTCAGAGTGCTTAGGCATCAATCGGTGCAAAGGATTCAGAAAGAATTGGATGAGTCTAATGGTGATTACGAAGATTTTTGGAGTGATCACTAGTGATGGCGACGTTAGGTCTCCATTCATCTTCCCACAGGGACGAAGACTCAATACGGAGGCTTACATCAAGTGCTTTGAGGAGATAGTGCTGCCTTGGGTAAAGAGAGTGGCTGCTGGATGTCTCTATGTCTAGCAACAGGACTCTGCACCATGTCACACAACCTGGACACAATCATGGCTGTCAGACAATTTCTGCGACCACTTCAGCCCTTACATCTGGCCGCTTAATTCCCCAAACTCACCACTTGATTATTATGTGTGGGGTGAAGTTGAGTGGGAGACCAACAAACCTCCTTGTGACACCAAAGATAAACTGAAGGTAAGGATTATGCCAGTATTCACCAACTTAAACAAGGAAACCATCCGGAAGAGTTACAGGAGATTCCGACGTCGTCTGGAGGCCGTGGTTGAATTTAATGACGATTTTATTGAATAAATTTACTCTTTAGTATTTCAAGATATTTTTGTGTAAGTTTGGTAAATATATCTGTTAAAATGAGATGTCACAGTTATTTTCATTTTTGCGTAATTTAGACAACAATTTATCCATCGCACGCTGTATATATATATATATATATATATATATATATATATATATATATATATATATAGTTCTTAAGTTATATACAAGTTTTTTAAGTAAATGCTCTGTAAACAGTATTAACGACATTTACTGGCCTGAATGTCGAGAAATTTTCATAGAAAATCTGCGTCCTCTGAAAATTCAGGCCAGTAAATGTCGTTAATACTATTTATTATAAACAGAGCATTAACTTAAATATTTGTATCTATAAAAAGAACGTAAAAAACTATAAAAATGTCTTAAAATAATTGTCGGACTTTGTCCATTTCATATAATATATATATATATATATATATATATATATATATATATATATATATATAAAGAAATATACTCGAATGGTTTGCTATATTTATTTATAAAGTGCTCAATATCAGAGATAGAGCGTTGGTAAATATAAAAGTGAACATTGAAGCAAACACTTAGAGGCGACAGGCTGTTTCATGCTAGACCCAATCGTCAGTCCTGACGATTGCGTCTAGCATGAAACAGCCTGTCGCCCTAAAATGTTGATTTATATATATATATATGTGTGTGTGTTTCTACTGAAAAGCTTTCTGTTTTATCTGTTTCCCAAAGCCTGACAAAATAACCAAAAATCAGAAATTTTAATGAGAAGGGCTTCTTGATCGAGTTTTGAAATTTTTAACTCCTCTCATAGATGAAGGAGATTCTAGTCTAAATTAATAATAATTAACAATGCTTCATCTTAGAAATTTGATTAATATTACCTTTAATATCATCGCATCCATAATGACAGTACAGCTTTGCGAGCGTCGCCATTTCACCTTAAAGTCCATAATTATTTGAAAAACATCTAAAGATGTATACTCCCTATATTGTCCTTTCTGTTGTCCTTTTCTTTGATACTTACTTTGTTGCTTACTCGCTCCGTCCATGGAATGTTCAGTATCCTCCTGTAGAACCACATTTCTACTGTCTTTACCTTTCTTCTCGTCCGTGGCGAGATTGTCCAGCATTCATTGTCATATAAAGAGGATGGATATCACATTGCAATCCAGCTCTCTTTTCTTGGTTTTTAACAAATGTTTTTCCGTTTTGGGACTATGGTTCCTTAATCCCGTTAAATACAAAAGACTTAGTTTATAAATAATAATAATAATAATCTCTTTGAATTTCCTGTTCAGTTATTCAAGCGTTAAAAACGTCCGACATTTTTCTTATTTCAGAAACGGTCGAAGTGACTCCATTAATCTCTGTCAACATATATAAAAATGAATTCTCTAAAAGAAAATATATTACATACCTTGATATAATTTCCGTTTTTTTAAGGTCATTACCAGTCGTTTTTGAGAGGATTGTTTTATAATCAGCCAATAAAAACAATTTTTACTTGATGCAGTAGCACGCGAAACCTTACAATTTACGTTGGACAGCGAAAGAGTTTTTTTAAAAAAAATAATAATAATAACAATGTTTAATCGATAAACGTTTTGCGCTTATGTACCAAAACCCGTTACTAACTTTGGACAAATTTTTATGTCATACAGTGGGAATTACTATCTCCTGGGTCACTATACGATGGGCGTTCCAAATGTTTTGAGTTTGAATCCCTTTTACGGGAATTACAAATTATTCTTTTATTCGATTGTCTAATTATAATATATTTATTTGGGTCCGATGTCAGAGAGTGTTTAGTGAGGGGACGGTTTTTAAGTCAAGGAACTGCTAATAAGAATTTGTACACTAGAATTAATTTCCATCAGTTTAACAAGGTGAAGGGGTAAATAAATTTCTGGGTGGCCAGGACAATCCTTAGCGATGAGCCTGTATATATTGTTTAAACAAAATGTGAGCAATAAAAAACTGAAAAAAAACTGACAAGAATAAAAAAAATGTAAGAAATTGAAGGAACAAGCTCTTGTTGAAATTTTGATTCTGCAACAGAGTGCTCTGCCGGCAAGCGGAGATCACGTTCAAAACGTCCGCCATGAAAAATGCCTTTCGTATGCAATGGTCGGACGTTAGGCAGTTGTATATTGTTGGGGGTAAAAGATTCCTTGAAGATGAACCGTGGATAAAATATATATATATATATATATATATATATATATATATATATATATATATATATTTCTTGAAAATTAAAATAAAAAAAAAACAAACTCTCCTTTTCCTGCTCTTATAACATTAAAAGTAAAAATATTTGGAACACTTTTCGTATATATATATATATATATATATATATATATATATATAGAGAGAGAGAGAGAGAGAGAGAGAGAGAGAGAGTGAGATTCAAGCATGTTTCATTAAATAATATAGATATATTATAACTATTTTTATGATAATCCCTTCTAATTCTCTAATTATCTTCTTGATGTTAAGCTGAGATTCATCAAGGAAGGTGCTGTATTTTTTGTTAACCCAAGCACTTTCGATCTCCTCCGAGATCATCCGCTGGGGGGAATTGCGAAGACAAACTTAATGTAAGTGTAATCGTTGTGATAGTGATTTTGCAAACACGAACGAACGCGCTCTGCTATAATTATAAATAAACAACACTGAACAAAATTTATTACGCGTATAGTAGCAATGTTGTAAAATGCATTTGAATTGATTAACATTTCACACCAATTTGCAATTTACCATTTTGAAATTAATAATATAGACATATTAGGTTTATTTATTTTTATAATAATCCTTTCTAATTTTGTAATTATCTTCTTGCTCTTAAGTTGAAATTCATCCAGGAAGACGCCGTAGTTTCTGTTAACCCAAGTACTTTCGATCTCCTCCGAGATCATCCTCAGTGGAGAATTGCGAAGACAAACTTAATGTAACTATAATAAATTGTGTTGGTGATTTTAACCATTTGGAACACACTTCGTATATATATATATATATATATATATATATATATATATATATATATATAGAGAGAGAGAGAGAGAGGGGGGGAGAAGTCTATATTCATAGACCTTCGCCTAATACTGTGAACTTTCATTTTAACGTGATGTTACTCATTGTTAAAAAAAACATTATATGTATACAACGCGACCGAAGCGCTCACTGAATACCATGAATAGATTTAAATGCACTTCGCCATATTAAAAAAAAAACAAGAATTCTCACAGCCTATATCAGCCAATAGACTTTGATTTCTCCTTAGAATTCTTCTTTGACTAATGAAGTAAAATCATATTAGTTAGGGCAGCTGGCAAAAGACCTTGGAATGGAATTTTGTCGCTCTGAATAACCTGGGTAGCCAAGCACTGCAAAGGCAATGGTATCTTCGCTGGTACCAACTTTCTACTCGCGTGCGTCAGCCGGTGGTAGGTCGTTTCGCACATACTCTTCGTGGTGATGTAATGGTCCTCCTCGATCAAGGACACGTCCATATATTCCCACCGTCCGTGCACACGCATCCGCACAGCGTTTTGATCGTTGTCGTTGTGGTCAGTCTCTGGCCGTGTCTGATACAGCCGATTCGGTATTTGGCACTCGTCCGTCTCCTTCGGTTCGATTATAATTCGCTCAAACAGTACGCATGGTGACGGCACAGCTACGACCGGGTCTGGACTGGACGGATTTCCGGTTGACTCTTCGGTCTGCTGCAGGGTCACAATGAACTCCAGGAGGTTCAGCAGCGAGATAAAGATCTTTTGGAGATTTTCCAGGTCCGAGGGCTCGGTGTCATCACCCAGCGAGAAACCCTGCTTTTCAAGCACGTCCCACTCGAACGTAATCCCGCGAAACATGCCGTGGAAAATTCCGAAAGCCCTCTCCACTGGTATGACAATCCTGCCATGTTCGTAGTAAACCTTATAGACGAGCTGGAAAATGCCCATAATCAAATTGTTGTCTATTAAATGCAGTGGCTGGTCATTGATTTGAAGGAGATGAACGTAAATATCCCACGATTGGCTAAAGTCATGTCGCATACACGTTAGTTCGGCAGCTTCTTTCAAAGCGTAAAACGTTTTATCAGATGTCGGCCCCAATATATGTTCCGTCGCAAGAAGAGCATGCAAGTCAAGGCTATAATCGCAAGGATTGTATATTTCCAAATTACGTACCAGCCTTGCTTTGGTCGTTGCATCAAAAAAGTCCTTTGGGGAATCTTTCGGGTAAGGAAAGGTTACCAACAAATGAATAAGTATCTCGTATTCTCGGTGCAAAGCGGCGAGTTTAAAGACATCGTTACCTTCGTTATTTTTAACGTATGGGCTGACGCCGTGTGTCAGCAAGAACTTGCATATTTCTGAAAAGCCTTTACACACAGTCAGGTGCAAGATGGTGTTTCCGTTGTGGTCCTTGGCTTCCATATCAGCTCCGCTTTCCAGTAGAAGTCGCATCAGGTCCATATTCCACATAGCGGCGTGTAGAGGCATGTAACCCCATTCGTCAGCAGCATTAACATCGGCCCCGTTTGAGATAAGGATCTCGACTATTTTCAAGTTGATGTTCTGGGCCCCAAGCAGTACAATAGGGCTCTCGCCCTCCCCCTTGGCATTCACGTCAGCTCCATGCTGGAGCAAGAGGCAAACAGCGTCTAAATGGCGGCGTTCTACGGCCAGCCAGAGTGGTGTGACGGGAGACACGTCTGACGTGTCGAACTGGTCGACATCGGCTCCGCATTCTTCCAGTAGGTACTGGACAAGGTTTACATGATTAGAACGAACCGCGATCGATAACATTGTGTTCCCGACTTGCTGCTGGCTCGTGATGTACTTTCGCCGGTCCATCGGTAGCGGGTCCAGCTCAGATTTCACGCCTTCTAAGCGATTTTGACGCACATATTTGAACACCTTGCTGACAATAGTAGCGTCTTCTTCCTTGATCTCATCCTCTCGCGACTTGTTCTCATAACTTAAATCATTAGCACCTGGAAAACAAAAATACAAGTTATTTTACGTTGTATAATGCTCACTCTGAATTTATTTTACGTTGTATAATGCGCACTCTAAATTTCAAAGTAAAATTCGTGAAAAATAAAAAAAATCCTATTAAAATACTGCCGGTAGTAATTATTATCAATTTTAATAACGCAAAGAAAACATTTGATGAATATATATATATATATATATATATATATATATATATATATATATATATATATATATATATATATTTCTAGTGTTTTAAACAACAGAAACAAAAGAGATATGAGAATTTCAATAACACAAGAGAGTCGATGTCTGTAAAAGGTAAAATATTAAATCGAAGACAGAGCTCTATCGAGGGTAAAAAAAAAAAATGCATACGACGCAAAAAAAAAAAAGACACTAAAAACAGGATATATAAAATATATATATATATATATATATATATATATATATATATATATATTCATTTTATTCCTTAGACAATTCTGCGCCGCCATGGTCATCACTCCCCTCCATTTCAGAATTGTGTTCCATGATGACATTCAAGGTAGAATGGGGCAATGGCTTGCTGGTTCCTTTTGCACCGGGGATGTCGAGGTGGATTTGTTTTTTAATTTACCTTCTTCCAGCCTATCCTGAAGAGGCAGAACTTACAAGGCAGCAAGTGATTTGAATTAAGAGTTTCCTTCTCCTAGACAGGTTGCCACCCAAGGCTATAGGACTCGGTTTGTCTTACTATTTTACTCCTAGCTGGTGATATATCAATCAAATCAAAGGCCCCCGCCGGTCATCAATGACCATGGATTTGATACCACCCATCTACTCCTCTGGAACATCGCCGCCTATGGCTGAACAGGCCCAGTGTTAAGCGTAAGGTAGGATCAAGCCTGGGCTGGATAACATAGAGGACAAGATGCCCATGCAGCATGTCCCCACTCCACATCAGGATATATATATATATATATATATATATATATATATATATATATATATATATATGATTTATAATGTTAGAAAATCACTACAAAAATAGCCATTTTGTTTCAACACTTCTGGTGTCTTATGAAGTGATGATGTTGAATGTAGAATAAAAGGTTTTAAAAGGTTCAATTGACCAAACATCCCTCAATAGAAATGCTGTTACATAAGCTGCAATGTGCAATGATCAATCAAAATACAAGTGTATGAGAATTCAAATATATATATATATATATATATATATATATATATATATATATATATAAAATCAGTCGATCCGCTATCTTGGTTATAACCTTTCAGTATCGTCAGGTGGTTCGCACCAATTGATTTCCCAACGCTTTATGTTTAGAAAAATTATTAATGAACGCTTTATTATTTAAAAATAAATAAACGCACAACAGGAAAGGGTGGAAGAGGATGCGAAGAAGAAGGAGATGGAGAAATGAAAGGGTATTTGTTGTGGCCTTGTTAGGGCCAGAAATAAAGACACAAGAGAGGAACTGAGTTAAACAAATATATTAACAGAAACTGTAATACAAACATATACAAACGAGAGTGCTACAGCAAGAATGTTCGGCCCGACTGTCAGAGCTGACTGCTGGAAACATCCCTCACCAAAAGGCAGTACCTGCTCCTATTTATAGCTGGGAGAGTTCATGCGTGCGTGGGTACATTACCATAATAGTATATTAAATGTATCGGTGGGGGTGAGATGGGATGTAATTGAAATAGCTTTTTTTATCCAGCCTTATATGAAATTAAAAGGAAATTTTTTATATGAATGCAACGGCTCATAATCTCGGACCTTTCATTCAAAAGATTTTTGGGATCCGGAAATGTCATTATTGCTAACTTTTCCTGTAGGCAGAGTTTGCAGATGTTATTATGGCTTTTGCAAAGTTTAATTTTTATTTTTCATCCGTGTATTGAGCACTTTTCAATAGTACTGTTTCCTGGTTTAATCCAACTCTGACTGTTAACATTTTCAGTATTATATATATATATATATATATATATATATATATATATATATATATGTGTGTGTGTGTGTGTGTGTGTGTGTGTGTGTATGTGTGTGTATGTGTGTGTGTGATAGGATTAGGAACAAATAGGAAATGTTTATAAATTTAACATGTTTCGCTTTTATTTGAGCTTCATCAGAAATTATTTTAAAGTGAACTGTAGAAGAGAAAATTCCCGTATTTTTTGTTCTGTGTTCTTTTTCATTGATCAGGCAGACCTCAGGTGTCATTTTCTTCTGGTGGTAATGTGTATATCTGTATGTGTGTGTGTGTGTGTGTGTGTGTGTACGTTTGGATTCTAGAGTGCATTTTTGTGTCCGTCTGGTAGTGTCCGTGTGTATAATTCCTGAAGATAGCAGTGAGATGTTAGCGTGTCTGTCTATCATATTGCTTGTTGGTCATGCAGGATTTGGGTGATAATGTATGTGCGTATGTGTCTAGTGGGCATTTTTGTTTCTGTCTGGTAATGTCCGCATGTTGATTGGGGGGTGTTTGGTGTGGCAGTGAAAGCAATAGGTTACATCAGCAGATATGCGGATCTTGGATTTTTAAGTATGGAGTTCATAAAAGTTGGTAATATGAAAAAACGTGTTTGGCAGGTGTTTATCGATGGGAAAGTGTTTATTAGTATCCTTCCTAAATATTTCCTTCGGAGTAAAGCACGTTCTTTTTCTTATTAGGGTACATTTTTAAATCGAAATTATGGCCTGTTTTATTTCTGTGTGCTACTAGACAGTTCAATAGGTTGTCCTAACGTAGGTGTCTCTTATGTTCATAGATGTCGGCTTTTAGGTGAAATGTGTTAAATTTATAAACGTTTTCTGTTTGTTCCTTATCCTATCATTCTGTATGATTCTAATCCATATTTGATCCCAATTTACATATATATTCCGAAAAAAAAAAAGATAATAAAAGCAACGCCATTTTCACGAAATATATATGAGACATAAAAATGAAAGAGAAATCACGATTAGTCAAATGGTATATAATAAAAAAAGATAAAGAAAAACAGAGGCAGAAATTATAATTTATTTATGATGGAGAAATTGAAAATCAGACAACATGAATGGTTTAATAAACGAAAGAAATAAAATTATTTTCAAAATGTCGGTACGCTAACGCATTCCTTTAAAAAAAAATTAACGATAGATCTTGGGAGGTGTCCAAAATAAAGAAGCGCCCATTTTGAAAAATTGCTATGCATAAAACAAGCTATAAATGGGTAACTAAATCAAACATGTTATTTTTGCTGTTTATTAAAAATCTCCTTGAAAAGTATTTAAAATTGAATTGAACCCTCTTACATACGCGATAATATATATATATATATATATATATATATATATATTATGAAATAGATTAAATCCGACAATTATTTAATATATTTTCTGTTTATACGTTATTTTTATAGATATAATGTATTTAAGTAAATACTCTTTTTTTAAATTAAACAGTATCAATTACATTTACCAGTCTGAATGCTCGAGAAATTCCATAGAAAATTCCTTTAAATTAAAGGTTCGATTCCTGTCGGAGAACGCATAACTTCTACGAAATTTCTCGAACATTCAGTCAGGCCGGTAAATGTAATTGATACTGTTTAACTAAAAACAGATCATTTACTTAAATAAATTATATCCATAAAAATAACGTATAAAGAATATATATATATGTGTATGTGTGTGTGTGTGTGTGTGTATTAGGACCTTGAATAAGTTCTCGCTATTTTCCAACAGATGGCGTTCCCAGAACTGTGTGCTTGTAGTTTCAGATGGTAACGCATCTATAAGGAAGTACTATAAGCAAGCTTGAAATTCAGTGTATGTCATTTCGCCGAAGTGTAAACAAATTTGTTTTTCATAGCGTGAAACATGTCGGATTTCATGTCAAAGAAAATGTATGTGCGGGGAAATTTACTGCGCTCCTTTATTCAAAAGAAATCTGCAGCGGAAGCACGCAGAATTCCTGTTGAGACTTACGGCGACCATGATCTGTCGGAAACAACATGCAGAGATTGGTTCAGACGCTTCAAAAATAATGATTTTGATGTTGAAGATAAAGAAAATGAAATCTCTGACGCACCGACAAAGTTTGAAGACGAAGAATTGGAGGCATTACTTCCTGAAGACTCATGTCAGGCGCAAGCTGAACTTGCAAAATCATTAGGAGTTTTGATCACATAACAGTTTCGAAACGTTTGAAATCATTAGGAATGATTCAAAAGCAAGGACATTGGGTGCTGTACGAGTTGAAGACAAGACGTCGAACAGCATCTTGTCACGTGTTAACAGCTGCTTCAACGGAAAAAGAAAGGTTTTTTGCATTGTATCGTGACCGGCGATGTGAAGTGGATACACTACGATAACCCTAAGCGTAAAATATCGTAGGGTAAGCCCAGCCATTCATCAACATCGGCGGCAAAGCCGAATATCCATACTTCCAAGCTTCTCTGCATTTGGTGGGATCAGTTTATTATGAGCTGCTCAAACCGACCAAAACCATCACAGGTGATCGCTAATTGATGCGTTTGAGCCGAGCATTGAAGACAAAACGGTTGCTATAAAGTCATTTTGCAACATAACAACGCTAGGCCACATGTTACAAAACGTATTCACCAGATGTTGTCCCGTCCGATTATCACCTGTTCCGATCGATGACACATGACCTGGATGAACAGTACTTTCATTATTATGAAGATGCCAAAAAAATGGGTCGACTTGTGGTTAGACTCAAAAGACGTGTTGTTTTTCCGACGTAATTCAAATGCTGCCAGAAAGATGAAAAAAACTAGTGGCTAGCGATGGACAATACTTTCAGTGACATGTTTCGTACAAATTTTTGTGAATAAGACATTAC